GTGTTACTGACTCGAAACGGGAGGATACTGGAATAGAGAGCAAATTTGCCTATATTGTTTACCAAACCATGCAACATTTTTTAACCCTGGAATATCCAGCAACTCCTGTGAAGAGGCATGATTGTTATTATATTTTTTAAAGTAATCTCTACCAACCTGTTATATTTAACTCTGCGTTCAACAGGCTTGAGACTTGAGACTGTCATCATAAAATCCCATGTGAAGCATCTCCAAAGTGTTGTTTGGTAAGAGTCTTTGTCTTTGTCCTGGTATAATCCGAACCAACAGCCGTCAACTAAGACACCAAGCTTCCCTTTCCTTGGAACAAACTCCTCCATGGCTCTTGACAGTGACAGCAGGGAATGAGGCACAAAGTGAAATATTAACACACGACCTACACGGTGATTTAAAATCCCTCCCTGTGTGTTGTCCCTCATAAAAAGAAGGGTCTCGACTGTTGTGAGAAGCCTTGTTCAAGTAAACAGTTTTTTTTAGGGTTTTTTTTTTTGTTTTTGTTTGTGGTTGTTGTTTTTTTCAGTCAGACTGGTGGCATCAGTAGCTTAGTGGTTAGGCTACCGCACTGGCTTCGTTATCATGAAAATGCGGGTCCGGGGGTTCGAGCCTCAGCTCGGTCCAACGTTGTGTCCTTGGGAAAGGCACGTAACACGAATATTCTTTTTGGCTTGGTCTTTTAGGAGATGGACGTTAAACTCGGAGATCCCGTCTCTTAAATAACCTAATATTGTTGATATGGGCGTCAAATCTATTACAAAGATCTACAATTTCGATTTCACAATTTTTTCACCAGCCAAGACTCTAGTTTCGACACGTCATTGTGACAGCAAGGAAACACGTGAAATATCTAACCTCGCAACAAACATTGCTACACACAATGAGGATAAGTTCTAGGTATCAACAGACGAGCTACAATTGTCGCGAAGTGAAGAGATGAAAACTAAAACGGTACGTGTGTGTCACAAGATCCACAAGACTTGCCAAAACAATCCTGCATGGAACCGTACAAGGAAAGAGAAAGAGAGGAAGGCAGAGAAGGAGATGGGACGACAACATTACAGAGTGGACAGGAAAGACGATGGGTGACAATCTGAGGAAAGCAGAGGACAAAGAGAAATGGCAATAGGTGGTTGTCAGAATGATGCAGTTTTGCTCCCC